CACGCACGCACGCACGCACGCACGCACGCACGCACGCACGCGCGCACGCACGCACGCACGCACGCACACGAACATGGCTGTGACCCACTCATTGTTGAGTGAACGTGTGGAACGTGTGGCCGTACGTACCTGGTCGCTGGAACAGACTGTAGGCTGGCTGTGGTGGCGGCCTCGTTGGAGCCGACTTAGTTCGCTGGATGCCACCCTTCTGACAGAAATAAGACAACATATAGTCGCTAATCACCATACAGTGTCTGTGAAACCCACGAAAAATGCTTCCTAGAAGAAGAAAGCCAGGTTTCAAGATAAAATGGAAGCATGTTGACCTTTCTCATTCATAGACTGGAGCTTTATAGGCTGCATTTGAGAAAGTCATAATTTTACGGTGTTTCTGTCAACGGTCTATAAGAAAAACTTATGTTAAAAACAGAAGGACGAATGTTAAGACGAATGATTGGACCATTTTCGGGAGCGGGGTTCGCACTCTAGCAGAACGTTTTTCCAGGAATTTTCCCAGTAGTTCCCAGGATTTAAGGGGTCCAATTTCCTCGACCTAAAGACTTCAGCTGAACATAATCCTCGCTTCGCCCTTTTAACGATTATTGAACAAACTCTCGCACGAAGCAAATTTCATCGCCTATTAGACACGACGGATATGTTCTCTACAGCAAGAACTATACATCTCGAACCAAACGTAATAACGACAAATATTCCACGACAGCCACGGACCGCAGCCCACAAACTTTCGAGCGTTTTCCCGCGACTCGCCCCGACACTTCGCAATTCTAGGACTTCCCAACGATCCATACCCAAACCCTGTAAACGCCCCGCGCGTACACCCCGTAAGGGGGCGCCCCACGCGCACGCCCCGTAAGGGGGCGCCCCGCGCGCACGCCCCGTAAGGGAGCGCCGGCGGGGGCGATGTGAAACCCGGACTCGCGCGCGTGAGCTTGCACTTACATCGAGGTTGGCCGGCCGCGGCTTGTTGAACGACTGTGAGAGGAAGGGCCGCTGTAAGGTGGCGAGTGGCAGCGACACGAGGCCCTGCTTGGGGAAGGGCATGCGCGGCACGACCTGGCCGGGGAGGCGACGCGACGCACGCATCACGCCCGGCGACACGCCCGGCGGCAGCAGCTTGAAGTCGGCGGGGAAGCTGGCGGCAGCGGAGAACTGCGGAGGAAACCTGGAAGAGAGAGAGAGAAAGAGATGTATATATATATAGAGAGAGAGAAGCCGAATTGCGATTAGAGATCGTGTTAGCGGTCACTTCTATAGAACGGCCACCTGTCTATAAAGGACACTTTTATATAGCGAAAAGACAGTTATATAAAGTGAAAACACCTCTATAAAACGGCCACCTGTCTATAAAGATGCTGTTATATAATGCAAAGGCAGTTATGCAGACAATGAAGCCACCTCTATTGAATATGGACACCTGTCTATATAAAGCACACTTGTAAGTTTTCCTCTTAATGATTCTTCTACATAGGTTATTATTGATCGTTTTTTCCTGTATCCAAAAACATCGCATGATGCACGTTAATACTAATCGGCTCAAATTTCTAGTTTCACGACGAATTCGAAACCGTTTCACTCAGTTTTTTCCCCAATTTAAGATTTTCGGAAATGAGGTGTTAATGGTTTCGGGAAATCCAATAGCAATCGTATATGGGAAGCAGGCTGTGCCGTCGCTATGTTGAATTTTCACACTAGTAGCCGTCTGCGCACATTTACAGCTTCGAAATTCCTGCCATTGGGCTCTACCGCGCACCAGACAGCGCGAAACTCTCCAAGGGCACAAATTCCAACGCCACGACACACGACCACGTCTTCACCATATACTACCAGCGACGGACGCAGAGTAAGACACCCCACCCGTGCCGTTAGACGCTCGCGCACGAACACGTGTTTGCCCTTCCACCACCCATACAAATCCACACATCTACACAGTCGCACAAACACACCCACCCTACCACTGACACAAATCCACACACCTCTACACTGTCGCACGCACGCACGCACGCACGCACGCACGCACGCACGCACGCACACACACACACACACCCTACCACCCTCACAACTGCGCTGCATACCGTAACCCGGTGCCAACATTAACGCTACCACACGGTTCAACGCTGCCAATTTCCCGAACCCAACACGTAGCCGGCGTTGGACTTTGGTGATAAATATCGCGTGAGTCACGTACTTCCTGCTAAGAACAAAGTCCTGTAATTTCGGCCGTGGCACAACACTAGTGTTAACGACCGGCCGTAAATATTTGACGAAACGTGAGAAAATGTGATACCACAGATCTCGCACACACGCACACGTGAACACGGGCACATGTTCACGT